TTAAGTTTATCTTATCCGATAATATCCTCTTTACTCCATTAACATCCTTCTACCTCCAAATAGTAATAATAGTATAGGTAACCAATGACAAAAATGTTAAGCAAAAGGACAAAGATGCAACTATATGTGACGTATTACTGTGGCAACGTTTTGCTCCTGGAGAGATACATGATAATATGTACCTGGAAAGCACTTGAGGGACTCGTCCCAAGTCTGCACACTGTCGTAATAACATACTGAGTGAGAGATATAGGAGGAAGTGAAAGCAGGGGTGCAGTGGGCACAATAAGTGAACACTGTATCAACGTCCGTGGCCTCATAATATTGAACATCTTATCAGAAGATATCAGAAACACTGTTGGGACAAGTGTAGAAATCCTCAAGAGAAAACTGAACAAGTATCTTCATCAGGTGCCAGATCAATCAGGTTGTGATGGATATGTGGGCTAGCGGGCCATCAGCAGCAACAGCCTGGTTGATCAGGCAAGCATCAGACGAGCCTGGTCCAAGGCCGGGCTCCGGAAGTAAAAAAAAATCTCGAAACCTAGCAAATATATGTCAAAGATAAAGGTAGGGAAAGTGAATAAATGGTTCATGGAAAGGTTTGGGGCTGGGATGAGAGTGAGTGTAATGGAGGGAATGTACTGGTAAAGTATTGGCTCCTCCTTCCTCTCACTTCACTGTCACATTACCTTCGCACCTCCCTCTTCCTTCCTTTACCTTAACATTTTCCTGTACTTTTATTTCTGCCGCCATTACATTTTTTTTCTGTATTTTATCAGTCAGTCTTTTTCTTGAACGACTGTCTGTATCTATTGGATATTCATTTATCATTATAAGATTCTTTACACTTCTTGACAAAAACAAAAGAAAAAAACTGACGACTAGTCATTGTTTCTCGCTGACGTAGTCATACAATTTATTACTCCATTTGTTTCATCTCCTTTCTTTATGACTTCCAGTAATTCCTTCAGTCTCTTCTCTTGTTCTGGCCTCCCCTTACTCCACCACGTTTTATTAACACACAAACTACTACTGAAGTTTAGCGTCCCTCCTCGTTTCGCTTCGTAATCCAAACTGTCTTATCCCTCGATACAATCCCACAGGTCTTCTCCAATATCACCTTCATAATGGCTTCATCGTTTTTTAAAGCAAATCAGGAATATTTGAGAAGTATCTTCACCTTCCCTTCCCTCTCATCTAATATTTCTTATATCTGTTGGTAGGAGGATGATGATATAGAACTGAATGAGTCTAAGTCACTCGTACTTTTTACTACATTTCTTCCCATTTCTTTCACTTCGCCAAGTTTAGTACTATGTAAACCAACTATGTACACCCTCCTTGATACGGCTGTATTCATCGAGTTGTATTTAAAAGTCAAAACTTGCCCTGACCGACACTACCGAGTTCTTGCTTCGTAACCCTTGTCTTCCCTCATCTTGGAACTTTACTTATACTACTTCCTCATCTAGTTCATTCCACTTCTCTACTGTCCCAACAATGAATAAATACTTTCACACGTCTTTATGGCTCATCTGGATCTTCAGAATCCATGTCCCCTTATCTCTGGTCTCCTCACTTCGAGGAGACCAGAGATATCAATCCCTCCTCAAACTTCATACACCTTAATGTCTTTCCTAATCATCTCTCCGCTAGTTTCATTAAGTTCAGCTCCTTCTTTCCACACCTCAAAGTTCACGTCTCTCGACTCTGGGACGTGTCTTGCTGTAAACCTTTAGACCTGTTATTTCTATATGGCTTTGATCAGGTAGGGAAAGCCATGCTGGAGCTTCTTATTCTATGATGGGCATTACATACATCAAGTAATGTTTCTTGGAAGTGTCTTTGTTCAAGTCCATCGATGCTGGTTAGCCAAATGTTAACATATGTGTATCAATGGCAATATGTATGGCATGATGCTGACTTTCAGGTCATTCTGTTTTACTGAGAATATCTGCTTCTCACCCATAAGCGGCGTTCCATATTCAATTTCCCCACGTTTTCTCCGATCCCCATGACCATGCATTACATAGGGCTCAACTTATTGGTTTAGCTCATGTTTCCCATGACACCAGACAATCTACAGAATACCACTAGCGAATCGTAAACTATACGTATCCCTTAAACCTCTCTTCTCTGTCCCAGCCAAGACTCCTAGGAAGTAACCTTTTCTTCAGAGGCTTACCATGTCATCTGGAAACTCAAGTTCCCAGGAATGGCCTTTTGTTTACGCAAGCTTTCATCTTACCAAGGAAAGACTGATCAACAACTGTAAAACAATAAGCCGACACGTAGTAAATAAAAGACACACAGAGTCTGCGGAAATATAAGTAAACAAAGTCTAGGGAAAGAAACATACACAAAGCCTGGGAGAAAACATGTAGAAAGTCTTGGGGAAAGATACGTAGACAAAGCCTAGGGGAATATTTTATAGGAGTGTGATGCGATAATATTCACAGAGAGGAGCTAAACCCGTAGGGGTTATACAGCGCCTGAGGGATTGGAGAGATGAAGGGTGGTCAGGTTTTATCCAAGGAAGGGAAGGGAAGGGTAGCTCCAATTCCTTGGTGTTCTTTACCAGTACCGAGGTACCTCTCTTGAAGGGTATGTTGGAAGAGAAAACAAGGAGAAATAGAGAAAATGGAAGAGAGGGAGATAATGATACGAAGGAAATCGAGAAAGAATTGGTTAAAAACACTAAAACACAATACATTGCCAGGTGACATCCAGGTAAAAGATATCGCTGAGCAATGTTTCACTGTGGTCACTTTTTATTATAACTAGATTTCCATTCAGTTTCCATCTTGGGTAAATGAGTAAGAGGAAACTCGACCAAGTGCTGGATCAACCAAGTTTTGAAGGATATGCGGGCTGCCAGTAACAACAGCCTGGTTGACCAGGCAAGCACCAGCCAAGCTTGGACTAAGATAAGGTTGTAGGAATATGTAAAGTCTTGAAGCACATCAAAGTTTTTTTAAAATCATTTCACAGCCGCCTGGCTGTCTTGAAGAAGGAACTTGACAAATTCCTCAAGTCAGTTCTTAAACAGCCAGGCTGTTGTGCCTACAACCTAGTCGATTAGGCCAGTAGCCTGGAGGCCTGGTGTGAGACCACACAGCTTGACTCGTCTTCAGCCAGCCCTTTGATATACCTTTGATATACCTTTGAAGAATTTCGAGAGTATATCTACTCTCTGAGCCCGGCCATGGGCCAGGCTCGTCTGGTGCTCGCCAGTAGGCATCCATCCCATGAGTGCTGAGTAACTACTCAGCTAAACAAGCCATGACCCGGAAAGGTAGGTGTTGCCCCGTCCCTTGAAGGCTGTTGCTGCCCCAGCCCTCGAAGGCTCTTGTTACCCCGTCCCTTGAAGGTTGAGCCCCGATCCTTGAAATCTGTTGTTGCTCCGCCCCTTGAAGGTTGTTGCCCTGTCCTTTGAAGGTTGTTACCCCGTCCTTTAAAGGTTGCTGAGCCCTGTCCCTTGAAATCTGTTGCTGCCCCGTCCCTTGAAGGCTGTTGTCTGTTGTTGCCCCAGCCCTTGAAGGCTGCTGTTGCCCCAGCCCTTGAAGGCTGCTGTTGCCCCAGCCCTTGAAGGCTGCTGTTGCCCCAGCCCTTGAAGGCTGCTGTTGCCCCAGCCCTTGAAGGCTGCTGTTGCCCCAGTCCTTGAAGGCTGTTGTTGCCCCAGCCCTTGAAGGCTGTTGTTGCCCCAGCCCTTGAAGGCTGTTGTCTGTTGTTGTCCCGTCCCTTGAAGGTTGTTGCCGCCCCGTCCCTTGAAAGTTGTTGCTGCGCCATCCCTTGAAGGCTGTTGTTGCCCCAGCCCTTGAAGGTTGTTGCTTCCCCGTCCCTTGAAAGGTGTTGCTGCCCCCTCCCTTGAAGGTTGAGCCCCGTCCCTTGAAATCTGTTGCTTCCCCGTCCCTTAAAGGTTGTTCTTGCTCCACCCCTTGAAGGCTGTTGTTGTCCCGTCCTTTGAAGGTTGTTGCCCCGTCCCTTTGAAGGTTGTTGTTGGCCCGTCCCTTTTAGATTGTTGTTGCCCCCGTCCCTTGAAGGCTGTTGTTGTCCCGTCCTTTGAAGGTGGTTGTTGCCCCGTCCCTTAAAGGTTGTTGTTGCCCCGTCCCTTTGAAGGCTGTTGTTGCCCCGTCCCTTGAAGGTTATTGTTGCCCCGTCCCTTGAACGAAGTTGACCTGCCCCTTTAATGTTGTTGACCTGTCCCTTTAATGTTGCTGACCTGTCCCTTGAAGGCTGTCGAAATGTCCCTGGAAGGATGTTGACCTGTCCCTTGAAGGTTGTTGACCTGTCCATTGAAGGTTGTTGACTTGTCCCTTGAAGGCTGCTGACCTGTCCCTTGAAGGTTGTTGACCTGTTCCTTGAAGGTTGTTGACTTGTCCCTTGAAGGCTGCTGACCTGTCCCTTGAAGGTTGTTGACCTGTTCCTTGAAGGTTGTTGACCTGTCCCTTGAAGGTTGTTGACCTGTACCTTGAAGGTTGTTGACCTGTACCTTGAAGGTTGCTGACCTGTCCCTTGAAGGTTGCTGACCTGTCCCTTGAAGGTTGTTGACCTGTTCCTTGAAGGTTGTTGACCTGTCCCTTGAAGGTTGTTGACCTGTCCCTTGAAGGTTGTTGACCTGTACCTTGAAGGTTGCTGACCTGTACCTTGAAGGTTGTTGACCTGTACCTTGAAGGTTGCTGACCTGTCCCTTGAAGGTTGCTGACCTGTCCCTTGAAGGTTGTTGACCTGTTCCTTGAAGGTTGTTGACCTGTCCCTTGAAGGTTGTTGACCTGTCCCTTGAAGGTTGTTGACCTGTACCTTGAAGGTTGCTGACCTGTCCCTTGAAGGTTGCTGACCTGTCCCTTGAAGGATGCTGACCTGTCCCTTGAAGGTTGCTGACCTGTCCCTTGAAGGTTGTTGACCTGTCCCTTGAAGGTTGTTTGTAGACAGCCTGTACTGTCTGCACAGACAGCCCATGCTGTCTGCCAGCTTAGATCATATTTCGCGCCACTCAGGTGCTGCCATCTATAGGCCTTGCCACTTCAGTATGCCCAGACTTGCCTCGCTCTCACTCTCACAGCGGCCTGGCATCAAGACACAAGTACTCCCAGCTCTCTCTCGTGGGCATGGCCCTGCCCGGGCCATGGGCACAAACACACAAGCCTGTGTAACCCACCACGACATTAACAATAAAGTAAGAAGCCTCCGAAGAAGAATATCATTAACACCGCTCTACAGTCTACCAAATAACCCCCATTATAAATGGTGACAGCGATGCTTGCAGCAGTTGTTTGCCTGGAGAGAGAGGAAGAGGTATGAAGTCATCTTCACTTCATCACCCTACACAAGAAGCATCCGTCTCTCAACGAGTTATCCTGATGTCGTGTCTGCACGTTTGAGCATTCAGACACAGGTACTAGCAGGATCCAGCCGAAATTTGCCGAAATTCTCCGAGAATTGTAAGTGACTCCACGCTACAGTGTCCCATGTTGTTTCTCAAGTCACGTGTTCAGCGCCACTTGTATGTTGCTGTTGTTGTTCAGCTCAGCACAGCTGTTTCAGCAAGCCAGAGGTGAGTTTTGTGGTGATTTCTGCGTCCAGTGTGAGCTTCTCCACGTGTTTGTGGGTGGGGGAGGAGAGGAGAGGAAGTGGCTGTTCCTCACCTTGCCCATGCTCGCCCTCCTCACGCTCACCCGTCTACCATACACCACTCACCACTGCCCACTCCCTCTGCTGTGTTTTCTGCTGTTTTTCGTATGAATTCATTGCCAGTGCTGTGTATCCGAGTGCCCGAGGCCACTCGAAGCTACGTGGATTACGACGTCACATGGGTGTGGCCGATGTCACGTAGACCTACAAAGCCACGTGAGTTACCAGATGTCCCAAGGCCACATGCTGTGGTCTGCTGCCCGCATCACATCGACGCCACCCACGATGCTGCCCGACTTCATGACGTCACGATGTCTGCTGACGTCACCTCACGATGTCTGCTGACGTCACCTCACGATGTCTGCCTGACGTCACCTCGAGATGTCTGACGTCACCTCGAGATGTCTGCTGACGTCACCTCGAGATGTCTGCTGACGTCACCTCGCGACATCACGCCTGACATCACATGATGTCACCATCGAGTGTTCTAGTAATTATTTCAGTATTGTCGAGAAGATTGAGAGAAGATATATGTCGTGTGTTAATTAATTCCTCTCAGTCAGTGTTCTCACATTTTAGTATGTCTTAGTCAGTTTTATGCGCAGAAAAGCATCATTTGCTGTTTAAGCCATGTTGTACCGTATGTACAGCGGTGTGTTTGTAAGTTTTCCGTGTGTCCAGTGAGGTCTGGTCAGACCCTTGAGTTGTACCACTATGTCACCCGCGTGACCAGTGGTTGACAGCTGATTTCTCAGCCCTGAGCGTATGAGCCCCCTTGTACAGAAAGCTTTTATGCTCGTCGCTCGTGATGTTCTGCAGAATCGTACCTGCTACGATTCCCATCGAGATTTGTTTCACTTCACCTCCAGACCGTCAGAGTGCAGTTATATGTAGAGAAACAAGTCTGGGGACGCTTAGACTAACCTCTGCTATAACTCCAACTGTCGAGAGATGATACTCGTCAAGCCGCAGCCAGGCCTGTCGGCAGGCGCTGTGTCAGCCTCGTGTCACAAGCTTCAGTGAGCAGCCTGCACAAAGATGTCGTCACTTTGACTGCTAGCTCTCTCACTGCAGTCTGGTGTATGATGTTACGACTCCCAGATGTTTCGCCCAGTCGTCTCTGCCACGACTCGCTCCACAACTCGCTCCACCGCTCGCCGGCAGTGATAGCCCAGCGACAGTACCAGTCGAGAAGTGTCCTCCTGAGTCGCTTGCCAGAAGTCCTGCCCAGTTGCCGAGTTTTGTCGACGCCTCACTCAAGGGCACCAGCATGTCGTGCCCCAGGTTGAGTGAAAACCTGCAGCGACTCCTACGATGTCTGCTTCACCGTTCCAGAGGAGACCGTACCCTGTTACGTCACAGCTCAGCCGCAGCGATGTCTCCCGTGTTGCAGTATCTGTCCAGACGCAGGAAGGCGTGCAGTGATGCCCATCGACGCTCACTGCCTATGACCACGATGTTTAGCACACCCCACATGTTTTTTCTTCCCTCCCTGTAGGAAGTTTTTTTTCCATGTCCATATGTATATATATGTTTTTATTTTGTGTTCTGTGCCCTGTTCCTACGAGAGAGAGACCGAGTTTCTTTTACTACCAGTATTGTCGCGTCGGGACGACGCGCGGTAGGTGGCCGAGCGTATGTAGACAGCCTGTACTGTCTGCACAGACAGCCCATGCTGTCTGCCAGCTTAGATCATATTTCGCGCCACTCAGGTGCTGCCATCTATAGGCCTTGCCACTTCAGTATGCCCAGACTTGCCTCGCTCTCACTCTCACAGCGGCCTGGCATCAAGACACAAGTACTCCCAGCTCTCTCTCGTGGGCATGGCCCTGCCCGGGCCATGGGCACAAACACACAAGCCTGTGTAACCCACCACGACATTAACAATAAAGTAAGAAGCCTCCGAAGACGTATATCATTTAACTACCCGCTCTACAGCTACCAAACAGCCCCGTTATATGTTGACCTGTCCCTTGAAGGTTGACTTGTCCTTGAAGGTTGTTGACCTGTCCCTTGAAGGTTGTTGACCTGTCCCTTGAAGGTTGCTGACCTGTCCCTTGAAGGTTGCTGACCTGTCCCTTGAAGGTTGCTGACCTATAACTTGAAGGTTGCTGACCTGTCCCTTGAAAGTTGCTGACCTGTCCCTTGAAGGTTGTTGACCTGTCCCTTGAAGGTTGTTGACCTGTCCCTTGAAGGTTGTTGACCTGTCCCTTGAAGGTTGCTGACCTGTCCCTTGAAGGTTGTTGACCTGTCCCTTGAAGGTTGCTGACCTGTCCCTTGAAGGTTGCTGACCTGTCCCTTGAAGGTTGCTGACCTGTCCCTTGAAGGTTGTTGACCTGTCCCTTGAAGGTTGTTGACCTGTCTCTTGAAGGTTGTTGACCTGTCCTTCAACGTGACACTTCCTGAATAACACAACAATCCTACGGTCCATTAAAGAATCCAACAGCGTGTTCATTGTTGCCGTGAATATGAGAGGGGGAAGGTAGGAAGGGGAGGGAAGTGTGGGGGAGGGTAGGAAGGGGAGAGAAGTGTGGGGAGGGTAGGAAGGGGAGAGAAGTGTGGGGGAGGGTAGGAAGGGGAGAGAAGTGGGGGAGGGTAGGAAGGGGAGAAAAGTGTGGGGGAGGGTAGGAAGGGGAGAGAAGTGTGGGGGAGGGTAGGAAGGGGAGGGAAGTGTGGGGAGGGTAGGAAGGGGAGGGAAGTGTGGGGAGGGTAGGAAGGGGAGGGAAGTGTGGGGGAGGGTAGGAAGGGAAGGGAAGTGTGGGGGAGGGTAGGAAGGGGAGGGAAGTGTGGGGGAGGGTAGGAAGGGGAGGGAAGTGTGGGGGAGGGTAGGAAGGGAAGTGTGGGGAGGGTAGGAAGGGGAGGGCAGGAAGGGGAGAGAAGTGTGGGGGAGAGTAGGAAGGGAAGGGCAGGAAGGGGAGAGAAGTGTTGGGAGGGTAGGAAGGGGAGAGAAGTGTGGGGGAGGGTAGGAAGGGGAGAGAAGTGTGGGAGGGTAGGAAGGGGAGAGAAGTGTGGGGGAGGGTAGGAAGGGGAGGGAAGTGTGGGGGAGGGTAGGAAGGGAAGTGTGGGGGAGGGTAGGAAGGGGAGGGAAGTGTGGGGAGGGTAGGAAGGGAAGTGTGGGGAGGGTAGGAAGGGGAGGGCAGGAAGGGAGAGAAGAGTGGGGGAGAGTAGGAAGGGAGGGCAGGAAGGGGAGAGAAGTGTGGGGGAGCGTAGGAAGGGGAGAGAAGTGTGGGGGAGGGTAGGAAGGGGAGAGAAGTGTGGGGGGAGGGTAGGAAGGGGAGAGAAGTGTGGGGGTGGTTGGAAGAAGAGAGGTGAGGGAGAGGGTAGGAAGGGGAGAGAAGTGTGGGGGTGGTTGGAAGAAGAGAGGTGAGGGAGAGGGTAGGAAGAGGAGAGGGGGAGGGATGGGGAGAGAAGTGAAGGGGAGGGTAGGAAGAGGAGAGGGGGAGGGATGGGGAGAGAAGTCAGGGGGACTGGAGGAAGGGGAGAGAAGTGAGGGGGAGGGGAGGAAGGGGAGAGAAGTGAGGAGGTAGGGTAGGAAGGGGTAGAGAAGTGAGAGGGAGGGGAGAAATGTGAGGGGGCGGAGGAGGGGGAGAGCAACCAGTTAAAGGAGAAAGAGGGAAGGGGAGTGAGGGGAAGGGCAGGAGGAATAGTAAAAGGGAAGGGACAAGGAAGAAAGAGATCTCTGAAGGAGAAGACAGAGGGGAAAGTGTGAAAGGGGAAGAGTGAGAGGAGAAGAGTGAGAGGGAAAGAGTGAAAGGGAAGAGAGGGGAAGAGTGAGGGGGAAGAGTGAGAGGGAAGAAAATAGGAGAATAGAGATAGTGAGAACAAAAGCGAAAAAAGAGGAAAAGAAAAAGGGGAGGAAAAAACGAGGGGGAAATGGGAACTTTGAGGAAAAAGAGGAGAAGAAAAGAATGGAGGAGAGCGAGGGGAAGACAATGAGAGGAGATTGATAGGAGGAGGGTGAGGCGAGGAGAGTAAAGAGAGGAGAATGAGGAGAGGAAATTGATGGGAGGAGAGTGAGGGGAGGAGAGTGAAGGGAGGAGATTAAAGGAAGGAGAGTAAGAGGAGGAGGAGAGTGAGACGAGGAGGAGATTTAGGGGAGGAGAGTGAGAAGAGGAGAAGACTGATGAGTGAGGGGAAGAGGAGGGGGAGAGTGAGGGGAGGAGGAGGAGATTGATGCAAGGAGATGGATGGGAGGAGGAGATGTATGATAGGAGGAGATGGATGGAAGGAGGGGATGGATGATAGGGGGGGATGGATGTGAGGAGGGGACGGATGGGAGGAGATGGATGGGAGGAGGGGAGTTAGGGGAGGAGGGGATAATTGGAGTGAGGGGAGTGAGGGGAGAGGTGACTAGTAAGGTGTTGTGTTGACCGTGAAGGTGACACAGGACTCGGGGTTTCTCCTTCCTCCTTTCCCCCTCTCCTCTTCCCCTCTATCCTTTCCCCCTCTCCTCTTCCCCTCTATCCTTTCCTCCTCTTCTCCCCTCCTGCCACTTTCCTCTCTCCTCCATCTTTCCTTTTCCCAGTTTCCTTCTTCTCTTACCTTCTACATATGTGTCATCCAGGTGTGGAACACAGCCCCAGGTGTGGAACACAGCCTCAGGGGTGCAGCACAGCCCCAGTTGTGCAACACAGCCCCAGTTGTGCAACACAGCCCCAGTTGTGCAACACAGCCTCAGGGGTGCAACGCAGCCCCAGTTGTGCAACACAGCCCCAGGTGTGCAACACAGCCTCAGGGGTGCAACGCAGCCCCAGTTGTGCAACACAGCTTCAGGTGTGCAACACAGCCCAAGGTGTGCAACACAGCCTCAGGGGTGCAACACAGCCCCAGGTGTGCAACACAGCCTCAGGGGTGCAACACAGCCCCAGTTGTGCAACACAGCTTCAGGTGTGCAAGACAGCCCAAGGTGTGCAACACAGCCTCAGGGGTGCAACACAGCCCCAGGTGTGCAACACAGCCCCAGGTGTGCAGCACAGCCCCAGTTGTGCAACACAGCCCCAGGTGTGCAACACAGCCTCAGGGCTGCAACGCAGCCCCAGTTATGCAACACAGCTTCAGGGGTGCAACACAGCCCCACCCAGGCTTCAACAACACTCAGGCTCTAACCTTGCCTGCCTAACACAGCAGCCTCATCCTGTAGTCTCTTTACTCCAGTCTCCTCACCTCGCAGTTTCTTTATTCCACAGTCTCCTCACCCTGCAGTCTCCTCACCCCGCAGTCTCCTCGCCCCAGTGTCCTTACTCCACAGTCTCCTCATCCTGCATTCTTCTTACCCCCAGTCCCATCACCTCGCAGTCTCTTCACCCTACAATCTCCTCACCCCACAGCCTTCTCACTCAACTGAATTCTCACCTCACAGTCTCCTCACTCCACAGTCTCCTCACCCCACAGTCTCCTCACTCCACTGCTTTCTCACCCCACAGTCTCCTCACTCCACTGCCTTTTCACCCCACAGTCTCCTCACTTCACTGCCTTCTCACCCCACAGTCTCCTCACTCCACTACCTTCTCACCCCACAGTCTCCTCACTCCACTGCCTTCTCACCCCACAGCCTTCTCACTCAACTGCCTTCTCACCTCACAGTCTCCTCACTCCACAGTCTCCTTACCCCACAGTCTCCTCACTCCACTGCTTTCTCACCCCACAGTCTCCTCACTCCACTGCCTTCTCACTCCACAGTCTCCTCACAAGAACAAATACTGGACCAAAAAATTTAAACTCGACTACATCAGAAAAACTGACCATGACCACACAACCACAACACCAGAAACACTGACCATGACCCCACAACCACAACACCAGAAACACTGACCATGACCCCACAACCTACAAACCACCACGAAACACGACCACTGACCCTACAACCACAATACCAGAAACACTGACCATGACCACACAACCACAACACCAGAAACACTGACCATGACCCT